CCCACAGGTTGTGATTGATTCGCATGAGTTTCGTTTCTGTGAGAGGCTGTCTGAACACAGGTGCCTGAAGTGCAACAGGTTTGCTAGGACGACCGAATCCTTGAAGGCCCTTCGAGCGAAGCGATGCGAGCCCACGGACCTTGCGAGAGCGATGGCAACGCGTTATTTTGCCCTCACCCCCGAAGTTTATCGGCACGCCTCGCGCGCGGTGGACGTCGCCGTGCGTGCTGCTGGCCTTGATGAAGGCCTAGGGCCCTCTGGAGGCCCATGCGAGGGTGGTGGAGTGGGGGCTGGCGTCGTCGCCGTCGGGGTCGATCGGGAGGTGGAATTGTACTCTGAGCTCGGACACGGGATGGAGCGATTTGGCTCCACGGTCATCTGCCTCGGTTGCGGGGCGTTTAGTGTGGCTGGAGGCCGCAATCGGAAGCTGCGTGCCCAGTGCAGAGGTCATTCGGACGTAGCCTCTGCGCGTGCGAACGAGGAGATGCAGATCTCACGTGCGATGCGCGGGCTGCACCCCAGGTCGGGGGACCCTTGCCCATGACGACCTCGACGCCAGGTCCCCTCTGTCGGCTTTCCGACGTGGTGGGGACGGTGCTGTCGAGGTCAAGCCGCACGGTGCGATGGCTCGACGCCTCGCCGTGCGGCTCATCAATTTCTTCCCGCTGATGCGGGTCCGTACGCTCGGACTCGCCCTTCATCGCTCGCTACCTCCTCCTCCTCCTCCTCCTCCTCCTCCTCCTCCTCCCTCCTCCTCATCTTCCTCCTCATGTTGTTCTGACGAGAAAAAAACAAACAAACAAACAAACAAAAAAAAAAAAACAAAAAAAAAAAAAAACGTTCTGGGCTACGGCCTCATCCACCTGGTCCTAGCTAGGCCCAGGCGATGACCGCAGTGGTGGTTGTTCGTCCATTCGTTATCCCCCCAAAAGTTTCTCGGAGCCCTGGAGGCCTCGGGAGGCTCGAAAGGGTCCAAGAACACCCGGAAATCTCGGCCGTCGATCTTCGAACCTTGCCATGTTCCGCGGTATCCTTCCCCTTTCCTCTTCCCCATCATCAGCATCATCATCAGCAGCATCATCATCATCCTGCTGATCCTCCTCATCGTCATCACCACCATCATATTCGCCATCATCACCAGCAGCATCACAATCAGCAACGGCATCATCATCATTATCATCATCATCATCATCATCATCATCACCATCATCATCATCATCATCATCATCATCTCTATCACCGTCATCACCAGCAGCATCAGCATCAGCATCATCGCCATCATCATCAGCATCATCATCGTCATCATCAACAGCATCGTCTTCCTCCTCCACTCTTTTTTCCCAATAGTTGACTCCTCCCCGCCGCACCCCGAGGCGTGCCGGCGGGGCGGGGCCAGGCGTTGCGCCGGACGTGCCCGCACCGGCTGCGACCCTCTCAGGGCCTACGTGCACAGCAGCGTCACGGATTTCCTGGCATCCCTCGGACGTGTGCATTTTTGGCTCGGCGAGAACCACTTGAGGACGATCCTGGACCATCGAGCAAACAAAAAAAAACAATAAAACAAAAAAAAAGGCACGAAACCGAAAAATGCACGGGAAATGGGCGTCCGAGCGATGGCGAGGGAGGGAGGGCGGGCCGTTCTCTACAGAGTGTGGTGCTCGCCTCGGCGCCGCACCGCCTCGTCCTTGAAAGCCTGCAGGAGCTCTCCACGGGCAGAGGCCGGGTCGTCTTCAGCAGCCGAGCAGAGGCGTCTTGGCAGCCGGCAGAGGAAAACAAGTAGTGAGCACCCCGTAGATTCGTTTTAACAGCCGGAGCAGCAGAGGAGAACCTCGCAGATTCGTCTTAGCACCCCGTAGATTCGTCGCAGCAGCCTGAGCAGGTGCGTCTTAACAGCCGGTAGAGGAAAGCAATCAGTGAACACCCCTTTGCCCCCAAAACTCGAAGTTGGCACGCGCGGGGGAGACTGCGGTCGAGGTGCAACTCATCAGACCCACCGCCAAGTTTGAGCATTGGGGGGAGGGGGAGGCGTTGACAGATAAATGTGGCATGAGTGTTCGCTTTGTGTTTCCCGAGGCCTGGCGTGCAAGAGTTTCACGGATGGAGGGCGGTATGCCTTTCAAAATGTGGTTTTGGTCTTAGCCCCGCGCACGTTCGTCTCACGAGGCTACAGTAGTCCCAAGGCTTCTCATGGCTGACGACGTCCCAGGAGTGGCGTTTTGGCACGATGTGGGATGTTGAGTCGCGGTGTTTTAGTCCCAGCAACGGTGCTCTAGCACGACTCGGGACCGCCAGGGCACAACAGTAACATTGATCCGCTGCGGCGAATTCCCAACAATGGTGTTCTGGCACGGTTTATAATTTCCAGACGGTTATCCTCCAACGTGGCACTTCCGTCTGTGAAAAGAAACCTTTCAAAAGAGCGCGCTCGTCGCACACGTCTCGCTAAAAGAGGGGCCCCAGCTTGAAGCATCCCCCCCCTTGGAAACCCCCTCCCCACCTTTTGTGGGCATTGTTTGATTGGGGGGCCTAGCCAAAGGGGGGGAAGCTTGGAAGCTACCCCTCCTCCTTTTCGGGGCCCGGGGTAAGCCCGGGCTCCCCTTTCCAAAGGGGGGGGGCTTCCAAAGCTATCCCCCCTTCCCCTCCTTCTGTTGGCTTTCCCAGCTGGAGGGCCCTGGCTGAAGGGGGGGGTCGAAGCTACGTTTCCTCTTTGGCTTTCGGCGCCCTGTTGGTTTTCGGCGCTCCTTTGGTTCTCGGCTCCCCTTTGGTTTTCAATGCTTCTTTGGTTTTCGACGCTCGTGTGGTTTTCAGCGCACCTTTGTTTTCCGACGCCCCTTTTGGTTTTCTGTTCACCCTTTGGTTTTCGACGCATCATTGGTCTTCGGCGCCCTCTTGGGTTCTGGCGCCCCTTTGGTTTTCGGGGCCCTCTTGGTTTCCGGTGCCCTTTTGATTTTCGGCGCCTCTTTAGTATTCGGCGCCCTTTTGGTTTTCGGCGATTTTTGGTTTTCGGCGCCCCTTTGGTTTTTTGGCGCCCTTCGGCTTCCAGCGCGCCTTAGGTTTTTGGGGGCCCTTTGGTTTTCAACGCCATTTTGGTTTTCGGAGTATCGATGGTTTTCGGAGCCCCTGTGGTTTTCGGCGCCTCTTTGGTTTCAGCGCTCCTTTGGATTTCGGCGCCTTTTTGTTTTTGGCGCCCTTTTGTTTTTGGCGCCCTGTTCATCTTCGGAGCTTCTGTTCTTTCCAGCGCGCCTTTCGTTTTCGGCCCTTTTGATTATCGGCGCCCCTTTTGTTTTTCGGCGCCCTCTTGGGTTTTAGCGCATCGTTGGTTTTCGGCGCTCTTTGATTTTCGGCGCCCCCTGGGTGTTCGGCGCACCTTTGGTTTTTGGCGCCCTCTTGGTTTTCGGAGACGTTTTGGTTCTCGGTGTCCTTTTGCTTGTCGGCGCCCTTTGGTTTCTGGCGCTTCTTTGGTTGTCGGCACCCCTTTTTGCTGTTCGGCGTTGCTCTGGTTTTCGTCCTCCTTTTGGTGCTCTGCCCCTCCTTGGTTTTCGGTGCCCCTTTAGTTGTCGGCGCCCTGTCGGTGTTCGGCGCTCCTTTAGTTCTCGGCGCCCTTGTGGTTTTCGGCGCCCCTTTTGTTTTCGGCGCTCCTTTGGTTTTCGGCACCGTTTTGATTATCGATGCCCTTTTAGTTTTCTGCGCCCTTTTCGATTTTCGTCAACGTTTCGGTTTTCGATGCCCTTTTGGTGTGTGGCGACCCCTTGGTTGTCGGCGCCCTATTGGTTTCAGCGCCCCTTTGGCTTCCAGCGTCCTTTTCAAATAAGGCGTCCATTTGGTTTTTGGCGCCTTTTTGGGTTTCGGTGATCTTGGGTTTTCGGCGCCCTTTTGGTTTTCGGCGCTGCTCTGGCTTTCGGCGCTCTTTTGGTTTTCGGTGCCTCTTTTGTTTTCGGCGCCCCGCTGGTTTTCGGAGCCAATTTTGTTTTCGGTGCCTCTTTGGTTTTCGGCGTTCGTTATGTTTTGGTCGCCTTCTGGTTTTCGGCGCCCCTTTGCTTTTTGGCGATCTTTAGTTTTCGCCGCTCCTTTGGTTTTCGGCTCTCTTTTGGTTGTCTGCGCCCTTTTGGTTTTCGACGCCCCTTTGGTTTTCGGCGCTACTTTGGTTTTCGGTGCTCCTTTTGTTTTCCGGCGTCTTTTGGATTTTCGGCGCACCTTAGGTTCCGGCGCCCTTTCGGTTTTCGGCGTTCCTTCGGTTTTCGGCACTCTGTTGATTTTCGGCGCTCTTCTGGTCTTCGGCGCTCTCCTTTAGTCAAAGGGCTTCCAAGCCCCCCCCTCCTTTGGCCCAACACGAGGGGGGAGGGGGAGGCTTCTAGCTGGGTGGGTTCAAAGGGGGGGGGGTAGCTAAGTGCCCCCTCCCCTTTAGAAAGGAAGGGGGGGCAGCGTGCTTCCAGAGCGCGAAACGTGGGGATGGGGGGGGAGCTTCGGAGGGGCGGGAAAAAAAGGAGAGAGGGGGCTTTCCGGCAAGGGAGGTGCAAAGGGGAGGGGTAGCTAAGCCCCCCCCCCTCCCTCCCTTTGGACAGGGAGGGGGGGGGAGCGGGAGCTTCCGGCGCGCGAAAGGGAGGAGGGGGGGATAGCTTCCGAGGGGGGGGCGGAGAAGAGGGAGGGTTTCCAACAGGGGAGGTCCAAGGGGAAGAGGGGGCAACTACGGGGGGACCCCCCCCTTTGGGAGAGTACCACGGGCGCGCTCTCTCAAACCGTTGTACGGACCTATGCAGAGGGATCTTGGAGGGAGGGTTTATTGCAGCATCGCTGCTGGGTCTTAGGTTTACACTCCTCCTCCTCCTCCTCATCCTCCTCCTCCTCCTCCTCCTCCTCCTCCTCCTCCTCCTCCTCCTCCTTTCCTTCTCCTCCTCCTCCTCCTCCTCCTCCTCCTCCTCCTCCTCCTCCTCCTCCTCCTTTCCTTCTGCCTCCTCCTCCCCCTCCTCCTCCACCCCCGCCCCTCGCAGCGCCCTCGACAGGGTACCTGGCGAGCCTGCGGGCCGTCTGCGAGGCCGCCTCCGCCCTCGCCTACGGCGTCGCGTACCGCCGGTGCGCGGCCCGAGGGCGGCCCTTCGACATCCCAGGGGGCTCTGCGCCGCACCGCCTCCTCCTCCTCCTCCTCCTCCTCCTTCTCCTCCTCCTCCTCCTCTTCCTCCTCCTCCTCCTCCTCCTCCTCCTCTCCTCCTCCTCCTTTTCCTTCTCCTCCTCCTCCGTCTGTTCCTCCTCCCCCCTCCTCCCCTTCTCCCCCTCCTCCTCCTCCTCCTCCTCCTCCTTCTCCTCCTCCTCCTCCTCCTCCTCCTCCTCCTCCTCCTCCTCCTCCTCCTCCTCCTCCTCCTCCTCCCCCTCCTCCGCACCCGCCCAGGGGGGCGATGACGACGACTGAAGGGAATCGGAGGAGAGAGGAGTGGGTGGAGGGAGGATGGGAAAATTTGCCTTGGAGAGGGAGAATGAACAAGAAGAAGAGGCGCAGGAGGCGGAGGAGAAGCGGGAGGAGAAGAAAAGGGGGAGAGCCAGAAGCTCAAACAGAGGTCAAACAAAGATCAATCAAAGTTTCAACAAAGCTCAAACTAAGCCAAAACAAAGCTCAATCACAGCTCAAACAAAGCTTACGAAAAGCTCACACAAAGCTCAGACAAAGCTATCAAACGAAGAACAAACAAAGCTCAAACAAAGTTCACTTAAAGGTCAAACAAAGCTCAATCAAAGCTCCAACAGTGCTCAAACACAGCTCCACCAAAGCTCAAACAAAGCCCTAACAAAGCCCAAGCAAAGATCAAACAAAGCTCAATCAAACTCCAACGGAGCTCAGTCAAAGTTCAACAAAGCTCAAATAAAGCCCAAACAAAGCTCGAGCAGAGATCAAACAACGCTCAAACAAAGCTCAAACAAAGCTCAATCAAACTCCAACAAAGCTCAGTCAAAGATTCAACAAAGCTCGAATGAAGCCCAAACAAAGTTCAAGCAGAGATCAAACAAAGCTCAAACAAATCTCAAACAAAACTCAACCACAACTTCAAACAAAGCTTGAACCAGGCTCGACCAAAGTTCAAACAACGCTAACATAAAGCTCAAACAAAGATCACGTAAAACTCAAACTGAGTTCAAGCAAAGCTCCAACAAAGCTCAAATAAAGCCCAAACAAAGCTCAAACAAAGCTCAAACAAAGCTCAACCAGAGCTCCAGCACGGATAAAACAAGGATCGACCAAAGTTCAAACAAAGCTAATGTAAAGCTCAAACAAAGATCAACTAAAGCTCAAACGGAGCTCCAACAAAACTCAAACACAGCTCAAACAAAGCCCCAACAGAGCTCAGCCAAAGCTCAAAAAGCTACAGCTACAACAAAGCTCAAGCAAAGCTCCAACAAAGCTCAAGCAAAGCTTCAACAAAGCTCAGCCAAAGCTCAAAAAGGCTACAATAAAGCTCGAACACAGCTCAAGCAAGGTTCCAACAAAGCTCTAGCAAAGCTCAAACAAAGATCAGCCAAGCAAAGCTCACACAAGGCACAAACGAAGCTCAAACCAAGCTAAATCAAAGCTCCAGCAAAGCTCAAACAAAGCTCCAACAAAGCTCACACCGAGCTCAAACAATTTCAAACAAAGCTCGAACAAAGCTCAGGGCTCAAACATAGCTAAAGCAAAGCGCATGCAAAGCTCAAACAAAGCTCACACAGAGCTCAAACGAGCTCAAGCTAAGCTCAAACAATGCTCAAAGAAAGCTCAGAACTGGTTCGAATTCTGGGCGGCGAGGGGATCGTTCCCGCTCCCCCCCAGGTTCGAACAGGGTGGGGAGAGCTTGTACCACCGCTTCCCCCCCAATTCGGACCCAGGGTCCCCTCCAGTTTCCAGTCAAAGGGGGGTTGCCCCTCCTCCCCCCCGGTTCCCGGGGAGGGCGGGGGGAAATCAAATTCGACCCCCCCCCGCCTCGGTTTGCTGGAGGGGGGGAGGGAATTTCTCCAGTCAAGCGACTGGAGATCGCGCTCACTCAGACATAGGAAGACCACGCGATGAGTTGGTCAATATCATCCTCCCCTCTCCCTCTGCCGCATCGTCTTCTATTGTCCTCGTACTCGCACTTACCCATAGTATGCTGCAAGCTCCTCCGACGAATACGACCAACACTATTTCTATTACAGTGATACCGGAGAAAAAACCCAATCATAATCTTTTTAGGGTTGTAGGGCTATAGTTTTATAGGGCTATATGGGCTGTAGGGCTATAGGGCCATAGAGCTATAGGGCCATAGGGTTATACGGCTATAGGGCTATAGGGCTATAGGGTTATAGGGATATAGGGCTATAGGGCTATAGGGCTATAGGGTTATAGGGCTATAGGTCTATAGGGCTATAGGGCGATAGGAAAATAGGGCTATAAGGCTATAGGGCTAGAAGGCACCGGGCACCCGGGCACCTGGGCACCCGGCACCCACTTGGGCACCAGGCACCCGTCACCCGGGCACCCGGGCACCCGAGCATCCGGGCACCCGGGCCCGGCCACCGAATCGGCGGCGAACCCGGGCACCCGGGCACCCGGGCACCCAGGCACCCAGGCACCCAGGCCCGGCCACCGAATCGGCGGCAAACCCGAGCACCCGGGCACCCGGGCACCCCGGCCCGGCCACCGAATCGGCGGCACATTTCACCTACCCTGAAATCCGCTAGGACCCCTACAGAGGCAAGCTCTGATTGGGGAATATATGTGAGGGGATGTCCCTCTGAATGTGCGGCGTGTCTTCAGAAATACCACAGTGTATGTGTATGAAGGCGAAGGCCACGGCTTAACGTGAAGTAGTGGAGATGATGCAATTGTAGAGGACTCCCGGCACCTGCTGCCAGTCCGGGACGTTCAAGGACGCTGCGTGAGAATTCGTCTTGCTGAATATAGTGCCCCAATCAGAGCTTGCCTCTGTAGGGGTCCTAGCGGATTAAAGGGTTAGGTGAGGTTGGTCGCCAGTTTCGGTGGCCGGGCCCGGGTGCCTGGGTGCCCATGTGCCCGGCGGTGCCCGGGCGCCCGGGTGGCCGGAGAGGTGCGTGGCCGACTTCGGTGGCCAGGCCCGGGTGCCCGGGTGCCCGCGGGTGCTTGGGGGTGCCCGGGGGTGCCCAATGTAGCCCAATAGCCCTATAGCCCTATAGCCCTATAGCCCTATAGCCGTATAGCCTTATAGCCCTGTAGCCTTATAGCCTTATATCCCTATAGCCCCAAATAGCCTTATATCTCTATAGCCCTATAGCCCCATAGCCCTATAGCCCTATGGCCCTGTAGGTCACAGTCCTATAGCCCTATAGCCCGATAGCCCTATAGCCCTATAGTCCGATAGCCCTATAACCCTATAGCCCGATAGCCTTATAGCCCTATAGCCCTATAGTCCTAAAAAATATGATTGTTTTCTCTGGTATCATTTGAGAGCTGTTCCTCGAGGAGGCAAGAGGGAGGATGAGGAGAAATGAAGAGGAGGAGGAGGAGGAGGAGGAGGAAGAGGAAGGGCAAAAGGAGGAGGATGAGGAGGAGGAGGAGAAACAGGGTGTTGACAGTCGCCTTAGGCAGCCTGTGATGGATAGAATGTTTCCCTCGTGTCCGTCGGTCGAGCTGGTTGGTGGGCTAGTTCCCGGACGGGTTGGCTCACTAGTTGTCCTTCGTATCTTCTCTTATTTGGTGGCCTTCAAGCCATCCCGCCACCGTGCCTGGGTTGTGGATCCGAGGCTTTTTGCAGATTCGCTGGGATCTCCTGGGAAGTTTCTCAGGGGCCTCTGGGAGGCAGTTTTGAAGCCTCAGGGGGCCGTTTGGGAGCCTCTTGGGGGCCTCTTGAGAGCCTTTTGGGAGCCCCTTGGGGCCTCTCGGCGGCCTTTTGGGGCTTCCTTGGGTCCTTCGGGGGCAGAGGGCTCGAATCGTCGGTTCGTGCTCCCCTTCTTGGGCACCTCGTGAGGCCATTTTGGAGCCCTCATGGGGCGTCTTGAGCGCCTCTTGGGCAGTTTCGGGGCCCTCTTGGGTCCTCTTGGAGCCTTCTTGGGGTCCTCTTGAGTTGTTTGCTTCATGGGGCCCTCTTGAGGGTCCTCTTGGAGCGCTCTTCGGGCCTCTTGAGGGCCTCTTGGTCCGCCTTGGGGCCACTTGGGCGTGTAGGAGCTCTAGTGGGCCGTTGTGGCGGCCTCGGCGGCGTTGCCGCCCTCCCCTCTTCCCCCTTCCCCGGCCAAGCCGCCCCGGCACCCTTCCTCCTGCGGTGAGAGAGCGGCCCCGAAAATTGCACACACACACACACACACACACACACACACTCATCACACACACACACACACACCCTTGTCTCCAGCAGCGCCACTCTGGCCCCCACCCAAAGCAGAGCTGAAGTTCAGGCTGTAGTTCTTCGCCACACAAGCAGAGCTCTTCCTCATCCTGCTCCTCCTCCTTCTCCTACTCCCTCTCTGCTGCGTTCGTATCCTCCTGTCCCCCTCCTTTCCCCCCATCCTCCTCCTTCCCGTCCACGTTCCTCTCCTCTTCCTCTTGCTACGCTCGTGCGTATCCTCTCCAGATCATCATAATCACAATCCTTGCCCTTCCCTTCATCATTTGAAGGATCCTCCTCCTCGACAGGTCCTGCTCCCCCTCCTCCTCTCGCTGGCCACCTCCGTCCGCGTCCCCCTCCCCCTCCTCCTCCGCGCTCCCCCGCCTCCCCCCTCCCTCCTCCTCCTCCCCCTGCCCCTCGGGCAGCACGCCGGGGTCGGCGGATTTTCCTGATGCCGGCCGCGCTGACGCTGCTGGCCGAGCTGCAGCGGGCGCGCATAGCGCGCGGGGCGCCCGCCGCGGTGAAGTGACCCTCTGCGGCGCGCGCGCGCGGCTGCCGCATGGGGGGGGGAGGGGGGGGGAAAGCGCCTGCGCCGCGCCTCCGGGGAGGGGAGGAGGCGGCAAAGCAGGGAACGTGAAGCGCGGTGCTGCTGGATTCGTCTGTCGCGTGCCCCCGCCTGGCGTGCATCCGAGGCCGTACCGTAAAGGCGCTTGCCCGAACAGCGCCGGACTGGCAAAAGCCAGGGTCGCCCGCGTAGGCCCGTCAGGCTCAGTTGCGCAGGCCATGGTGGTCCTCCTCCTCCTCCTCCTCCTCCTCCTCCTCCTCCTCCTCCTCCTCCTCCTCTCCTCCTCCTCCTCCTCCTCCCTCTCCTCCTCCTCCTCCTCCTCCTCCTCCTCCTCCTCCTCCTCCTCCTCCTCCTCCTCCTCCCTCCTCCTCCTCCTCCTCCTCCTCCTCCTCCTCCTCCTCCTCCTCCTCGCCCGGGGGGGGGGAAGGGCGCTCGGCCGCGCCTCCTGGGGGAGGGGGGGGGGAGGGAGGGAGCGCGATCCGCAGCGAGTGGAAGAGTCGACGCGCTGTGGTCGACGGCTCGTCTGGCTTCACCCAGTCGGAGCGCGATGATGTAACCAGCGCGATCGCATTCCCAGAGATGATCGCGTGTTTAAAAAGTCAGGACGGGAGGTCTGGGGCTTTTTTCGGCCCCGGGGGGCCCTCCGGGCCTCGGGACCGTCAAAAAAACGCAGGACGAAGAACCGGCCCCGGGGAAAGGAAGGGTCGGGACTTCCCAAGGACGCCGTCCTGGAAAAAATCAGGACGTCGCATGTTTGGGATTGAGTTTCGGCGACATGTCCTCTGATCAAGGCGGACGGGGTCGCGCCGAGCCAACGCGCAGCGTGGTCAACCTGGACATTTTCAGCACGGTGCGGGCTGAGCTTGGGCACGGGCTGTCCACCCGCACGTCCGACATATTCAGTCTCTCAGTGAAGGGCCCCTGGAGGACAGGACCTTTTCCCTAGTGCCGGCTCTTCGTCCCGAGTCGCCCCTGGAGGACATGTCCTTTGGTCGAGGTTGTGCTCGTGATAGCTTCCCTCCTGTGGTGTCCCCTCGTCGTCCTGCTGCCCTGGCCCCATTTGCGGAGGGCGGGCGGCGGGGCGGGAAGCAGGGGCGGGGCAGGGGGGAGCGGAGGGAGGCGGAGGAGCTGGGCGGGGGGCGGAGGGCAGCCGAAGGGGGTGGGGGTGGCGGCGCGGGAGGCAGGGGCAGGGTGGAGCGGAGCGGATGGGGAGCGGAGGAGGTGGGGTGCAGGCCAGGCACAGCACAAGACCGTACGGCAAGCGAGGCAAGCAGAGAGAAAGAGAGAGAGAGAGAACAGAAAAAGACAGCATGCACACACACACACGAACAAAAATCGGAGATAATGAGAATGATAATGATATTGATAACGACAATGAGAATGACAAGAGGAACAACAATGAGAAGTCGAATAATAATGAGAATGATAATGACTTAGCGAGAGAGGCAGAAAGAGAGAGAGAGAGAGGAAAAACAAAAGATAAGATGAGAGAGAACAAGACAGAGACCATCCCGCCCTCCAGGGGAGGCGGAGGTGCAGTAGACCCTCTTCCGCCCCTTGCTCCTCCCCCGCCTCCTCACCCATACCCTCATGAGCCACCTGCGTTGTCCTCCTTCCCCTCCCTCCTCCTCCTCCTCCTCCTCCTCCTCCTCCTCCTCCTCCTTCTCCCTCCTTCTCGGGAGGCGACGGGAAACGAACTCGGGCGAGCCGGGCGCGAGTGCGCTGATGACCGCGCCAGATGCGCAGTGGCAGCGGATAACAAGAGCCACGCGTCAGCGTCGTCGTCGTCATTGTCGTCGCCAGCGTCGTCGTTGCCGTTGCCGCCGTTGGCGTCGTCGTCATCCGTGGGCGGGGGTGACGAGGAGCAGAAGGAGCAACACGGGCAGGCCGCAACCATCGCGAGGCCAGGCGCTCCTCGTGGCCGTGGTTGAAATCATTGGATGTTGCCCCCCTGGGTACGCTCGAGGAGCAGGACGGGCAGGAGGAGGAGGAGGGGGAGGAGAAGGAGGAGGAGGGCGAGGGGGCACAGCTGGGGGCAGGAAAAACAAGGAGGGAAGGACGAGGAGGACGACGAAGAGGTCAGGCAGGAGGATGCGAAGCAGGATGGGAAGCAGGACGAGGAGGCCGAGGGGGAGGGGCGCGGCTGTATTTGTTTCGTAGCTCTTCGAGCTCTGCGTGCAGCTGCCACGATCGGCCCCCTCCTGCATGCGAAGGGAGACGGGAGGCGTAGGAGGAGGGAGGCGAGGACGAGGACGACGACAGCAAAACGGAGGGACACGGTTCGATGGCCAGGGCAGGAGGACGGGGAGGAGTAGTTGCAGCAGCGAGAGAAGTTGTGGATGCTTGCCCCCTGATCCAGAGCCCGGGGAGGCATGGCATCGCCCCCCAGCGAAGCAGCGCTCGTTAGATGTGTTTCCCATTGGCTTTCGAGGGTTCCAGATGACTCGCATGCTTCCTTGGCATATGTGTGCTAGAGGATTTAGTGAGGTCGCTATCCGGCAAGCCAATGGATAGTACGTTGCCTCCTGTTTCCGACCCCCAGCTCTTCATCCATCTCTTCCCAAAAATCAGCATCGTCATCATGATCAGCATAGTCCCCCTCTATCTATCTCTCATGTGTACAGCCAAAAGTGTACCTCGATCTCTCAATCTCTCTCTCTCTCTCTCTCTCTCTCTTTCTCTTTCCATGATCATCCCCTTCCGCATTGGTATCCCTTCCCTCGGCTCCCCCTCCTCATCTTCCTTTCTCTCCTTCTCCTGTTTTTGTTCATCCACTCAAGCTCTCAAGTGGGCCGCTCTAGTGGCAGAGCTTTTGGTGGTGGTGGCACCCATCCTCACCCACTTGGACCCGGGGGTCAAGATCACCCTCATGATTCATGCAAGCAGCATGGGTTGACAACGCGTATGTTTGTACAATACGGGCGAGGGAGCAGTTCGTCTGATGTCTGCGCTTACTCTTCATTCAGTGCTGCCTATTCTCTCATACGCTGGTCCCGGCCTGTAGCTGATGGCGTCTAGTAGCCAGCTCTCCCACCACTCTGCTGCCACTGCTGGCTTTTCTTCCACACGCTGGTGCCAGCATGCAGCTGATGACGTTTGGTCTCCACTACTCGCAGTACCGTCTGCTACTACTGGTGGTGCTTCTTCTTCCCGCTGGTTCCAGAAAGTAGCTGATGACGTCTTTCATCCAGTTGTCGCACCAGTATGTGTTACCGTTGCTTGCTCTCCCACGCGCTGACAAACTTGTTACCGCTGGCTGGCTCCATGAGTTTTCTCGATTCTTGCGGTGTAGCCGACGGTGTTGATGTACAGTTGATCTGCCGATGTATGTCGCATCTGCGCGTCCTTCTCGCACTATCAGGAGCCAGGTGTGTAGATGATTGTTGGGTGTTTAGAGGTTGTCCTTCTGCTGCCAGGTGATGCGTGAGCCAAGCTGGATCGAGCGGGTTTGAGACAAGCTGGGCACAGTGCCTTGCGCGATGCTGGGCTGGTTGTTATCACAAATTCCTTGAAGCACCGGCTGAGCCAGATTCTTGAAGCGTTCCTCGACGCGTCCATTGCACTACCCCTTCTTGATTCGAGTGTTCATTCCACGACTGCGACATCCCGCCTTCAGTTCAGCCCACGCGTAAGGCAGCCACTGCGCCACCCTTTCTTGTTGCGACCAGTGTCAGGCAACTCTGGGCAGGTCCTCGTCGCTCCAGCGTTGCAAGAGGTGAGGCACGAACTCCTTGGCGTCTGGGTTCAGACTAGGGTTTCAGTCGGGCCTGTCGCTCTACCGGGGGAATATCCAAAAATAGTCCAAAAATAGTCTGGGGACGATTTTTTAAGATATTGTTTGACCTTTTTGGAATATGTTTCCTGTATTTTTTACTTTTCGTCGAAAATCCCCCTGTAGGGGGACACGCCCGACTTAAGCCTAGGGCCGCGATCCTCCTGCGCGCCAGGAGGGGCAGGAGCGCAGGGAGGGCAGCGTGTAGTCTGTTCGCGAGCTCGGGATCGAGCTTCCCCGCCCCGTCGAGAGCAACGTCGACCTCCTCTCCTCCCTCCCTCTTGCTTTCCTCCCTCCCTCTTGCTTCCTCCCTCCCTCCCTCCTCCCCTCCCTCTTACAGATCTGGAGGAGTAGGCTCGGAGAGGCCATTGGAGGAACACGGACCCGGGTCCCGCGTCAGCGCTCCACCCACCCCTCCCCGGCCGCTTCTCCCGCTTCCGCGCGTGCTCCGCGCCTCCCGCGGTGGGCCCCGTGCCCGCCCGCTGTGTGTCCGCCCGCCTGGTCTCTCGCGCAACGGGGGCTTTCGCCTCGTCGTGTCGTGCGCGCTGGCACGTGCGCGCGCTGCGCCAGCGTTCTAGGGAGAGGAGGAGAAGGAGACAGGAGGAGGAGGAGGAGGAGGAGGAGGAGGGGGAGGAGGAGGAGGAGGGGGAGGAGGAGGAGGGGGAGGAGGAGGAGGAGGAAGTGGAGAAGGAAGAAGGTCACCTGTCGGGGCGATGTCAATTGCAAGAATCCTGCCAGGCGTCTAGGCGCAATTCGCTACCGCGTAGCCCGCCGCAGCTATGACCGCGATGATCCGCTTGCTGCTGCGGCCGAAGAACCGAAAGCAACGCATATTCTCGCAAGCCCCTTCTTCCACACCGATTGGTAGCAGACCACCCTAACTCTGGAGTGGTGCTAGAACAGAGCTCCGAGACGCGCTGGGCACCAGGCTGCCGATCGGGCAAAAGGAGCGTGAAAGACAAGGGCGGCTGTACACCTTCGCGTTGCAGGCACGGCTGGAGGAAGCCGCTGTAACGAAAGAGCCTGCGAGGCTCCACGTCGCAAGTCTGAGTCCTCCTCCTCCTTCGTTTAAGTCGGGTCTGTCCCCCTACAGGGGGATTTTCGACGAATGAAAAATACCCCAAATAGTCAAAAAATAATCAAAAAATACTCTGGGGACTATGTTTTGAATATTTTTTGACTGTTTTGGGGCATTTCGGGAGTATCTTTTGTTTTTCGTCAAAAATCCCCCTGTAGGGAGACACGCTCGACTTAATCCTTCGTGCGGGCCGCTGGTCCGGCTGGCTGGGCTATATGGTCAGGAGCCGGCGCACTTCCCCGCCGCCTCTCAAACGAGGCGACCCCCCCAGGAGCGGCACGCGACAGCGGCCATGGGGCGGGACACGCGGGCCAGGGCTATACACTACGTGGGCATGGAGGGTCGAAGGCGACGGCGAAGAAGGTGGCGTCGGCCGCGAGCTCGCCGCCCTCTGGCGCCCCGCGCAGCAGTTCGCGCCTTGCCCCAGCGGCGCCGCCGGCTGGGTGTCGCCAGCACGCCGCCGCCAGCACCCGATTCCTGTTCTCTCTCTCTCTCTCTCTCTCTCTCCTCCACCTCCTCCTCCTCCTCCTTCTCCTCCTCCTCCTCCTCCTTCTCCTCTCCTCCTCCTCCTCCTCCTCCTCCTCCTCCCTCCTCCTCCTCCTCCTCCTCCTCCTCCTCCTCCTCCTCCTCCTCCTCCTCCTCCTCCTCCTCCTCCTCCTCCTCCTCCTTAGGCTCCGCCCCAGCGCAGGCCCCCCCGATTGTGGAGTCCCTCAGCAGGAACGCTTGCCGCGATGGGGGCAGCCGCGCCCGTGGGGCAGCCATGACGGCCAGGGTGCCCCCCCACGTCGGGGGCTGGCACGCACGCCTCGTGCTCTGGCTCGCGGCGCTGTGCGCTGCGCGGGGCAGCGACCACATGGCGAGGGGGGGCGGCAGGAAGGCGTTCATCGGCACCTACAACCCGCAGAACCTGGTCTCGCCCGCGAGGGTCGACGCGGTCTCGGCCGCGCTCAAGAGCATAGGGATCGTGGGCCTGCCAGGCACTTGCATTCGGGCCTGGCACAACGAACCTCATCATCGTGCGGGGGCCCCTTGTCACCACGTGATCCACTTCGGCTGGATTCGCTCGGCCATGGTGAACAAGGCATGCGGGTGCACGGTCCTCCTGTCGAAGCGGTACTTTCACGCGACGAGCATCAGGAGGATCATCCCGCCACCAGACGGCCTCAGAGGCAGAGGGGGCATAGTCTATGTGGAGTCGGGCCCGTTGCTCGTGGCCCTCTGCGTCCTCTACTAACCGCCCCGACCGTCTCGCCCAGGGGACGCCAAGCTCTGGAAGATCACGAGCTCGCGCCTCACCGCCTGGGCTCGAGACGAGCTCCTCCAGGTGCCCCACCGCTTCACACCAGTGATTTTGACGGACCTCAACTCTGGGCTGCGCCGCCGAGGAGATGACGACCACGCGGTGGGCCCCTACGGCAGCGAGCGCGAGTCCTACAGTGGCCAGATGTTCCACGAGCTGCTCACACAGATGAAGCTGACGGCAGTGAACACGCATTGGGACTCGGGCCACACGTTCTTCGGCATGGGCGGATCGTCTTCGCAGATTGACTTCGTGTGCCTCCCGCAGTCGGCGCTCAAACTAGTGAGGTGGACGTGTACGTGGAGGCGCACGGGCGAGTCCATCAGGGCGATGAACGCCATCCTCGACCACGTCCTAGTCGTGGTGAAGTTCTTGGCAGTGGCGCCCGTGGACCCCCGCCCGCTCGCAGAACGCTGGGATCGGCAAAGCCTGGCGGGGGCGGTCCTCACGGGCGCAGGACGCGAGGAGTTCTTGATCGAGGCTCACAATGCTCTACTCGAAGTGGAGAGGTCCCTCGACATCCAGGAGTCCCGCCCGACCGCGAACGGCCACACCACCCTCGCGATGGCTACGCTGCGGCAGGTTGCGTTGAAGCACTTCTCCCAGCAGCAGCGGCGCCCTGACTACGAGCACGAGCTGGAGGAGCGGAAGTGGGAGCACCTCAAGCGGAGGCGCGGCCTGCTGGAGCAGGCCAAGGCGGCGGACCTCGCGCAGGCGCGGCACGACCCGAGGCAGACCGAGATGCGCAGCCTGGACGACGCCATCCGCAGCTACACGCGCGCCCTGCACTCGCTCCGCAGGCGGCGCAACCGCGAGCGGCAGCTGCACCAGGAGACAGAGCTCAGACAGGCGTGGCGGGCCCGCGACACGCACGCGGCCCCGCGGCTGGCGAGGACGTTGGCGCGCACGGGCATAGGGGTCAAGAACCGCAACTACCGTGCGCACGCGTCCTGCAACCCCACCGGCGACGAGTGGATCGTGCACTTGGCCCAGCCTGCGCTGGCAGGAGGGCTCGCGGGCCGCCCTGTGTCTGTCCCCGTCTGCCACAACCTCACCGACGCTCATATCCAGGCGCTCAGGGATACCGACGAGTACGCTCACCCAGACAACTACGAGGTGTCCCAGGCGACGCTGAAGAAGGCGCAGCAGGACTTCGGGATGACCCTGAAGGCGTTGCGGCGCACGAAGATTGGAAAGTTTGCCCCTTCGTGGTCCTGCCCGTCGGAGATCTTCAAGATGCTGGTCGCCCCAGCATGGATCAGTGCCCCCGCCAACTATGCGAAGCAAACGGCGGGCTTGGGGCCCCGCCCAGCAGCCATCTTCGAGGAGAACCCCCAGGGGCCCGACCCGCACGCGCGGAACCAGTTGCCCCACCTTGAGCAGTACGGCGAGCCCCGCCGTCGACAGGTCCCGCCTCGTCCTCCACGCACGCCGTGCGCGGCAGCTGCCGCAGCAGGCGCCCACGTCGTTCGGCTTCGCCCCCGACAAGAAGAATGGCAAGCCAGGCCCAGGCGGCCGACGCTTGGTTCACTGCATGTGCAGCTGGTGGCGTGCAGTCGTCCGTGGAGGCCTCCTGCGGGGAGGTGCCTTTCGCCCCCCCGAATGGGCCTTCGCGGCTCGCGCCCGTCGGCGCGAACACCTGATGCTGGCCACCCGCATCGCGGCGTGGAAGGGCCACCAAGCTGGGCAATCCATGCTGCACAAGAGCTTCGATGCGACCAATGCCTTCGGTTGCGGCGACAAGGATCAGATCGAGCATGGCGCCCGCCTCCGCTTGGAGACGGCTGCCGAGGAGGTCGAGGAGGATGACGTGGACTACGTGGCGACGATCTCCAGGCCCAGGCGCCAGTCGCTGACGGTGGTCATCTCGGGTTCGGACCACGAGGTGGCGATCGCCAGCGGTTCGGGGGGCTTCATGGGCAACACCTCCGAGCCCGAACTCTTCATGAGCAACTACCACATTGCGGTCCAGGAGTGGGCCCTCGTGGACCAGGCGGCCACTGGCGAGGCGATGATGATCAACTTCGATGACCGCCTGCCCACGATAGACGCGAGCCTGGGGCGCTTCATGGACGACATCTTCAAAACGCAGCTCGTCCCGCCCACCGCGCGCACGGCCCAGGAGGTAGTGCGGTGCTCTCAGCGGAACGACGCAGGTCTCGACGCTGCGCTGGCTGCGCGGCAGTACGGCCAGAACCGAGCGAAGCAGGACGTAGTTGTCTCGTTGGGTTCACGGCAGCTGGTCCGCCAGACCATCCAGGCCCTGGCCAGGAGTGGGTGCCGCAGCGGCTACGAGTTCAAGCACCTGGGGGGCTGGTTCAACGCGGTGAACTCCAACGCGACGGAGCTGGCCATGCGCCTAGCGGCGATCAACAAGGGCTGGATGATGGTGCAGGGCTTTTGGTACTCCTCCGCCCCCAAGCGCGTCAAGCGCCTCATGTTCATCAGCCTGGTGTCGGGGGCGGCCTTGTCGGGCACCACGGCCTACTGCTGGACCGACTCGGAGGCTCGCCAAATTTGCAGTTCTTTGCCACGCAAGTTGAGGTCGATGATGGGGGGAACGTCTCACATGCATAACGATCACGTGAAGGTGATGACTACTAGAGAAGTCTACAGGTTCTGGAGCCTCGTCCCGTTCAGCCTGGAGGCGCTGGTCCAGCGCCTCCGCATGTGGCAGGCTATTGCGCGCAGCCCTCGACAACATAGCCACGTCCTGGGCGTCTTCTTCGGGGAAATGAAGTGGGAGCTGACTAGTGAGTACAGATGCCCACCGACGCTAGTGGAATATGGGCAGTTCAATTCCGATGCTGTTATTCATCCTTGGGCGCGTCAGTTGCGACGCGATCTCGAGGCCCTCTGCGACCACCCAGAGGCGGAGTATTTTTCGCTGGTCTGGGAGAGCCGCTCGATGAGGGACCTGCTGTGGGACGAGGAGGTGAACGGCCTCTTTGTCTCCCTTGACGTAAGGTGCTTGCGGAGCGCCTTTGCTGCTGTACAGTGGGCACCGCCTGAAGCGACCGTGGCATCGGTACCCACAGCCCTGGATGATGAAAACAGTTGGGAAGACCCAGAGGCCCAGAAGTTCACTTGCCAAATTCGAGGAGATCCCGAAGGCCCCATATGTGGTTGTTCGTTCCGTACGCGCGCAGCACTGGTGGCACATGTTTGTCAATCTAGACAGCCTGGACATGGGGGGCACAGTATATTCCACGCTCCCACACCGAGCAACGCATGCATCAACTGTTGCACAATATGCCAGACAAGAACGGAGACGGCACGGCACCTCGCACGCGCGTGGCACGCGGGCAGATGTATCATGCACAACACGGCGTACCCCTACAAGTTCACAGATACGAACGTTCGTGAATGTTCACTGTGTGGCGCAGAGTTCCCCTCGTACGAGCTGCTCCGTAGTCATATTCGCTCACACCTGCCGCCGACGCAGGAGGGCCGTTCTATTTCGATTGTGCAACCCCGACCAGCCCCAGTTGTCCCGAGGCCGAGACGTCGTGATCCGCTCCCGCTGGGGGCTCGCCTGCGGGGATCTGACTTGCGCGCGGCGGCCCGCCTGTTCGTCCCCGCGGCCGCTGGAGGTGCGACTGCCCGCGTTGCATCCGCTCCTGCTGGTGGTGCTGCAGCTCGTGATGGAGGTCGAGAAGAAGGGCCGCTGGCGCCCGCAGGTGGCGGCCTCCTCGGCCAGCTCGCGGACTGGTGGAGCGCAGTCCAAGCCCGCCGACAGCGACAGCCGCAAGAGCCAGAAGGACAGCAAGGGCACCAGGCTGGCGCGGGGCGACGCGGGCTTGGAGGGCGCCGCAGCGAAGCCGAAGACACGTCGTGGCGGACGGCGCCGCGCGGAGGCCAAGGAGCGCAAGCTCACGACGAAGGACGCAGGCCACAAGGACCTCCTCCTGCACCTCTCCATGCTGGCGTCGCAGCTGGCGCAGAGGTCTCGAGCGATGTGGGGCATCACCACGCGCACAGCGATCCTGGAGGACAAGTCGCCAGTGATCAAGGCGACGCAGCAGGAGGGCCAGGACTTCGCGCAGGTGGCGAACCAGAAGCGCGCGGAGGCCAGCAGACTGAAGGACCAGGCCAAGGCGGCGAAGGACACGGACGGAGCAGCGGCCCGCCAGTTCGACCAGGAGGCCGACAAGATGATGGAGGGACTCCGCGGCTTGGGCCCTCCAGCGCCCGCGGCCTTCTGCACCATGATCGAGGCGCTGGCGAACGAGGAGATCGGCAAGAGGCTCAAAGACGTCCTGGTCGCACTCCTGGCCGAGATGGAGGAGGCGCCACCCACCTACGTTCGCCTGTGCCGCCTGGAGAGCTGCAAGCAGCCCGACATGCTGAAGGTGGTGTTCGCGCTGGACCGTGTGGACCTCGAGGCGCAGGTGATGGAAGCGTTTCGCTCGATGGGAGTAGTGACGACGGTGGGGGCGGCGCCGAGTGGGTACCTCGAGGACGAGATCTCGGCCTGGATCGACGTGCTGAAGGACGCCTGAGTGTAGGCGCCCCAGAGACAAGTTCAGAGGCCGAGGATGAAGATGAAATCCTTTTTGAGGCCTGGCTCTAGTGAGTTTGGGTTCGGAGGGCGCGGGCACCGCGCCGTAGCCATTGAGTTTCGGCAGTGTGGCCTCGTGCACCTGGCAGTGTGACGCACTCTCGACGGGTGCGGACGGCGGACGCACGCTTAGGATGGCCCCCTGCTCCTTTTCGCCTCCCTCGGTCGGCCCCTTCGGACTGCTCGGTCCCTCGTGTAGGTGCAGCTTGAGCTTCCTGAGGCACGAAACCAGTCAGGGGAGCAGTCATTCTGATCTCTCGTCCCACAGCCGCTCACAGACAGACAGACTCCTCCTCCTTCTCTGCCTCCTCCTCTTCCTCCTCCTCCTCCTCCTCCTCCTCCTCTGCCTCCTCCTCCTCCTCCTCCATCATCATCATTCTGGGCCCCCTCCCCAGGGCACGCTGGCCTCATCCCCCCCCCGTCCTCGCCCAGTCTGCGGCCCTGGAGGACCGACGCCATATCTTCGGCCGCGCCCACTTCCAGGGCGGCGTGGGCCGCGGGCACGCTTCAGGGATCCCCGTCGTGCCGAGCAGCCTCGCGCACGGGACGACCTGCTGATGTGCGTCGACGTCGACGTCGACGTCGACGTCGTTGTTTTGAAGGTTTCTGAGGTTCCTTTGTGTTTTCCCTCGCCTGTGCCCTGTCTCCCCAATGCGCGTAGCCCGCCTAGCTTTTACCGGAAGAGGTTCGCTCTCGCCCCGCAGACCAAACAAAAAAAAAACGCTTTCCCTCGGCAGGGCCGGACGCGCCTCGGAAAGTTTGTCAGGATGGGCCCCAGGAGGGCTCGGAGACCCGGTCTGAGCGGACCCTGGGGACGGGGGCGGGTCGAAGTTGGCGGTGTTCTGAGAGGGCAGAGTGCTTTTCAGCAGCCCTGCGCCCCTGCACGAAGCAGTTTTAGAAGAGGCCCTTCCCGCTTGGAAGCCACGCGTTGGTTCCGAAGGCCGCCCCCCTCGCCAGTGCCCGTTGTGGCGAGCTGCTAATGTTCGGTGGGAGTGTGCGGATTGTTTGCAGAAGCCCAATGGACCCGAAATCACCACAAGCAGTGCAGCTGCAGAAGTGGCAGCGTCGACCAGACGTAAGAGTGTTCGTTCGCCGGAGTGACTTCTGGTGCGGTCTCATCTCAGAGGCAACGATAGGGGCGAATACCCCAGTGGGGAGCAATGCATGTATCCAGGGACGCCGATGATCTATGTCTTCGGCAAGGCTCCTGGGCGAATACGTGTAATGCCCGCCCCTGGGCTATTCGCCCCTATCGTCGCCCCTGATCATCGGGGTCCCTCGGATCGCCGAGTAGGAGTCGACAGCAGCGGCTTGCGCGCCTGGTGGTGTCCCCGATGGACCCCCCGTGGCCGCGCACCAAAGGTCACTCTTGCCTGGGGTCGCTCCCGCGTGTCGCCAAGAGTGGCACCAGCGGCCAGGACATGATTAGAAGGAAACTGGCAGAGACTGTCAAGGCAGGTATCCACCATGAGAATTGGGAAAAGGCATAAGCGCAGAAACAACAAGTGCTGAGGAAACTAAGGACGAGCAAGCGGCAGTGGATACCGACGTATATATATATACAATCCGAACCGACATCGAGAAACAGCTCCAATGATCCCCTCCCGTGGCCTGAGCATATGTCGTTCGAAAATGTCGATGTCTAAATTTGTCTGCTGACTTGAGAGAGAACAACAGCGACCGCCAGGTGAAAAGGATTTAGAACGCAGTAAGGCCCGTTGATCGTAATAACGCAACCCGATGATTCAGTGGAGCAAGGCAGTTAGATCGGAACTGGCGCGCATGAGTTTGACACGATTGTCCGTTCAACTTGGCGCCGCACTTATGTTTTATACCCAGCAGTGATTTGGCGGATTGACGAGGAGTGGCACGAGTGCTTCCGATGGAGATCTTGTTTCAAACATTGGCATGTCCAAGCGCACTCATTTTCCGTATGTGCGCATGTTTGTTGTCGCGTGCCAGGGTGGCACATTGCATTTTTTTTGCCGGATAATTGCAGAGGGGCGCCCACATCGTCCGTTTGACCTCCATTGCCGACCTATTGACGCCGTGATCCGGTAATGCGACATGATGTTCCGTTCCGCCGCTGGCACATTTCTTGGTCACAGCGGTGGCGAACGCGCACCGCGTCCGTAGCCACCACTCGCACAAACATACACACATCACCGATTGAAAAGTCATGAGTTGCCAGGCGTATACAAAGAACCATGTTGTAAGCACGTGACTGGTTCGCCGCATGTATCAATATGGATACACCTTAATACACCTTATCATGTACGAGCGACACTAATACACCTTACTACGTTGTGGCATGAGCATGTCCTGAGACTCCCTCGATATCCATGCATATCCCTCTCTCTCTCGCGTGAGTTAATGTTGTATCTCTCTCTCTCTCGTTTTTTTCTCTCCCTCTCATGATCTCTCTCGCTCGCGCTTTCGTCATGTATGTCTCTCTCTCTCTCTCTATCCCTCTCTTTGTTCGTGTCTCTATCTCTCTCTCTCTCTCTCTCCCTCTCTCTCTCTCGCTCCATCTCTCTTTCTGTGCGTATCAACCGTACAAACAAATTTTGCCCCCGCCACGGGCACCGCCCACCTCTGGAACATCTCGGGCAATTCCTTGGTACCGTTTCCCCGGGTTCCCCAGGGAGCTCCAGGAGGTCCCCGAGCAGGAGGAGGAGGAGGACGAGGACAAGGAAGATGAGGAGGAGGAGGAGGACGGCCGAGGACGCCTCCGAGACGGCCCAAAAGGACTCTGCGGCCCACGACAGCCCCCCCGACGGCCACGAGGCCCCCTCGAGCTCCCAACAGAGTGCCACGAGGCATCCAAGAAGCCCCCAGGACCGCCCAAGAGAGACCCATGGGAAACCTCGAGAGAACCAAATCATCGAACAAACGATCACGATTCAAGAGGCCCCCAACACCGCCCGAGAGGCCCCCAGGAGCGTCCGAGAGCCCCCAAGAGACCCGCAACAGGCCAGAAGGGTCCCAAGAGTCGCCCCCAAGAGGCTCCACAAAGACGTTCAAGACGCATCTAAGAGGCCCAGGGAGACTTCCACGAGACATCCCACATGGCGGCGAACTCGGAGGAGGCAGCTCCTCTCTCCTCATCCCTCCCTCATGCTTGATCCTTCTCTCCTCCTCCTCCTCCTCCTCCTCCTCCTTCTCCTTCTCCTCCTCCTCCTCCTCCTCCTCCTCCTCCTCCTCCTCCTCCATCTTCCCCGATGCCTCCGTCTCCCTCCTTCCTCCTGCTTTTTGTTCCCTCACCCCTCCTCCCTCCGCCTTCCTCGCCCCGCTTCATGCTTCACTAAATGTTGGGAGGCCCAGCCTAGGAAGTTACCCTGGCGACGTACCCAACCCCTGCGCAACACGGGACATGAGTAGTTTGGGAGACGTTATACGGAGGTGATGACGTGACATGGGCGCATAAGTTTCTGCAAGCGGCATTCGTGAGGCTCGCAGCCCCCCAGGGATTTCGATGTCCCGCTCAGATCTGCATGGTGCCTCGCTCCGCTGAACCCACCAGCTGCCCTCGACAGTGGCGACACTTTCGCAGATCGCAGCCCCCCAGGGACGGCGAGGTCCCGCTCAGATCCGCGAAGTGCCTCACTCCGCAGGACCCACCAGCAGCCCTCGAAAGTGGCGACAATTTCGCAGATCACAGCCCCCCAGGGACGGCGAGGTCCCGCTCAGGTCCGCGCGGTGCCTCACCCCGCAGGACCCACCAGCAGCTTTCGAAAATGACGACATTTCGCATATCGCAGCCCCCCCCCAAGGACGGCGAGGTCCCGCTCGGGTCCGCGCAGTGCTTCACTCCGCAGGACCCACCAGCAGCCCTCGAAAGTGGCGACGGTTTCGCAGATCGCAGCCCCCCAAGGACGGCGAGGTCCCGCTCAGGTCCCCGCTCAGGCCCGCGCGGCGCCTCACTCCGCAGGACCCACCAGCAGCCCTCGAAAGTGGCGACAGTTCCGCAGATCGCAGCCCCCCAGGGACGGCGAGGTCCCGCTCAGGTCCGCGCGGTGCCTTACCCCGCAGCAGATCGCGGCCCCCCATGGATGGCGAGGTCTAATTTGGATCCGCGCGTGGCGTCACTGTGCTGGGGCCCCTCAGCAGGCCTCGAAAGTGGCGACAGTTTCGCAGATCGCAGCCCCCCAGGGATGGCGAGGTCTAATTTGAATCCGCGCGTGGCGTCACTGTGTTGGCCCCCGCAGCAGGCCTCGAAAGTGGCGACAGTTTCACAGATCGCAGCCCCCCAGGGATGGCGAGGTCCTGTTTGGATCCGCGGTGAGTACCCTCTCTGCTGGCCTCCCCAGCAGCCCTCGAGAGTGGCGACAGTTTCACAGGTCGCAGCCCCCCAGGGATGGCGAGGTCATGTTTGGATCCGCGGTGAGTACCCTCTCTGCTGGCCTCCCCAGCAGCCCATCGAAAGTGGCGACAGTTTCACAGGTCGCAGCCCCCCAGGGATGGCGAGGTCCTGTTTGGATCCGCGGTGAGTACCCTCTCCGCTGGCCTTCCCAGCAGCCCTCGAAAGCGGCGACAGTTTCACAGATCGCAGCCCCCCAGGGATGGCGAGGTCCTGTTTGGATCTGCGGTGAGTACCCTCTCTGCTGGCCTCCCCAGCAGCCTTCGAAAGTGGCGACAGTTTCACAGATCGCAGCCCCCCACAGATGGCAAGGTCCACTTTGGATCTGCTGGCCTCGCCAGCAGCCCTCGAAAGCGGCGACAGTTTCACAAGTCGCAGCCACCCAGGGAAGGAGAGGTCTCGCTCAAATCTGCGCGGTGCCTCAACCCACACGGCGAGAGGAGACAAGAGGGAGGCGGGAGGCGGGAGGCGGGAGGAGCAAGACGCGACCACGGTGCTCTATTCAAAACGAATACCCAACCAAGGAGGGTTGGGAAAAAGGAATTCCCACGAACACACTTCTTTCAACTTCGCCCTCGCCC